TGCGTCAGGTCGAAAATTGAACAAATTAACCTACCTTTTGTTATCCGAAGTTTTCATTGGTCTCACATAAGAAAGCTGAGGATTGTAATCTGTTGGGGCAGCTTTTGAATGTTGACAGAGTTCTTTACTTTTACAAGCTACAGAGTAGCAGGTCTCACCGAGCATAAATGCCACATGACACTTTTCATCCTTGCAGCATATATCTTGGCATTCTGTGAGGTAACGGGTTTCGTCGCTTATTGTTAGTTATGCATGGAGATCATTGATACAGCCAGTATTTCGTCTCCATTTTCAACATTATCCCTATTACTATCGTCCATATGATCAACACATCTGTATTTTTTTCTTTTATTCATTTATATATTTATGTTTCTTATAGAAAGTCTATGTGTCCGTTTCAAAAATTCTTCGTACATAATTACAAAATGGGGAGGAAGTTATACGGATAATTATATCGTCTGCCGCAATCTTGAAGGATACCCTCTTTCCATTGAAACCGATGAAGAATGGAAGTTTATCAATCGTGAGATTCAAAAGCGTAATAATTGGAATACTTGTGCGTGGCACTCGAATGGGAATTTGAATTGGGAATGGTTTAGTGGAGCACCACTGAAAATTTCAAAATGACGAGATTCTGAGCCAAATGGTAACGACGACTTAGCGAAATATCCAAGAATGAAGGCCTCTTTAACGGTGTCTCTAGATATAATGAAAATGCCTTCATCTGTGAATTTCCTGAGGGTAAGGAAACATTCCACCTATAAAGTACATTAAGTACTAAACCATTTCCACTTTGCCCTGGTCCCACTAAAATCCTTTAAGCAGGCTTGTATTAAGTAAGTTTTACCTGAGTTTCAGACCAATTCCTGACGAACCCCTAGGGTGGCCGCTTAATAGGGGTTGGACTGTAGTTTTAGTGCATCCGAAATAGTGAAGAAAGATGTGTCAAGTGCCACTCCTACTAAGGGCAGTCTTCCGACCGAAAAATAGCAGCCCGTTATTTTTGCCATTTTTTATAAAAAGAAATCAGTTTCATGCGTTCTAGAATCATCCTTTATTTTCTGCACCCCAGGCTACAGCAAATTTTCAGCGGGCAAAGTGCCTAAATGAAGAAAAATCCAAAGGACACATTTCTCAAAATTTGTCGAGGGCGCCTATTACAAAAAAAAGCCAGTTTGAGTGGACATTGAAGCTTAGTACAGGGTGTCCCTTGCATTACTTTAGACAGCAAATTGCTATAAGTCGCTCTGCCTTAAAAATACCAAGAGATCAGTTCAAAGTTGTTTTCCTTTTGCTTTTTTATCCATAAAGAAGGTCCACAGAAATTAAATCATTCAATATTTTATATGGAATTTGTCTTGACCGCCATCTTTGTTTTCATCCAACTGCAATCCACTGACCAATGAATGCAGGAGCAAAATGTCCTCGATTTCTGGCGATGTTTGCCCTAACACGAGGAAAATGCTCGATCACTCCGCCAATCGGTATCTCACTGGAGACTTATTTCAATTTGAGCTGTAGCAATTGGGAAAGTGACAGCACCCCTCTGTCCTACGAGTTTCAGTACAGGCTACAGAACGGTCTGTACAGCGTGTTATATCGTGGTGCAAACAACACCATAAGTGGCTCTCGGATACCGCCTGGGAATAAGGCAGATAACTTTACTGTGAAGTTCAACGTTACAGTGACTAACAGTTTTGGAATTTCTGCTTCCTCATTCCCTTTGACAGTCCAGGTAGGTCGATAATTATTAATTTAATTTCTAGCATGAGATAACGTGGTAGCACCTTAATTACTTTTGGTCACTATTAGTTTAGATTAAGAAGCTATCTTTAAAGGGAGTGAGGATTTAAAGAAACTGTAGTGCTACGTCGGCTGGGGTGTCAAACAAAAGCTTTTCCAAAAACGTTTTACGGTGGTCAAGTTACACTCTCGATTTAATTAATAAAACAAAATTATGTTGTCAAATTTTCTTTCAGCATGTCACCAAGTCGATACCTGCTTTTGAATTTTTTTTCAGATCAAGCCATTTCTTAATATCTCAAACCTTCTCATGGCGAATGACAGTTCATTCAATGAATTCATGAGTAGCGGCGCTATTTGCGAACTCTGTCTTACAATCAGTTTTACAAGAATCCTCAATGGATTTGCAGAAGAGATGCACGGTACTTTTAAACGCCATATGCATACTTAAGAAATGAAACAAATGAAATTCATCGTGATCTTAAAACCCAAGAAACAAAGAGTTTCCATGGAGAAAAACAAAACAAAATTCAATTGGAAATCAAAAATCAAAACATCAACACTCCAATAACAAACAAGTGTATTACATTAAGTATATTAGCATTTTTTTTTTGAGCAAATCAAAGGCTTACATGTTCAATATCTGAGATCTTTGATGCTCAAGAATCAGGACTTGCATGTTTTATGTGTTCTTCCTATTGTTTCTGCGTCAAAAAGTTGCAATAGGGCTTATTATGAATAGAATGGAGAACGCTCTACAGCCTTAAATTCAATTTGAAACGAGTATTTTCAACGTCTTAAAAATGACGTTTGAAAAATGTTCCATTGGCGTAAATCGCCCACACACACCCCTTAGTTTCAGCTTGGAACTGTATTTGAACTTCCGATGTCTTAGGACCAATCAGGTGCTTGTGAATGTATCTTTTTGATGGTTGTTAGTGGCAATATCATCTGGAGACCTGAGTCTAAATATACCTTTAGAAAGATTTCCCTTCGAATGAGCCTCGTGTGTGAGATATAGTCAATTTGCTTAATTCTTTCCAGCTTAAAATAGACCTTTTAGTTTTTCATGTTTATCACTTTCAAGGTAATGCACAACATCCTTGTAAAAATTTTTTCTTTTAAACGATAAAGTGTGGCGGACCTACTTTAAAGCTCATCAGTTATCTGTTCTGCTCTTCAGGTTTTGGATAAAGTGCCCTACGATTCACTGGTAAGTTACATTGTATTTCTTTGAATGCGACACAAATGAGAAAATGACATATACAATATACTAATGTTTGAATAACTTTGGTCGTTATGTCGACTTATCATGCTATGACATTTTATAGGCCAGACGGACTCACCAGACGGACTCAAAACCCAGAAGCAACAACAACAACAACGATTAAGCAAAATGAAAACAAAAACACGAAAAAGGCGACACATGCTTAGTGGTTTATGGTTTTGAACTTACATTAATTAGTTCCGCGCAGAATATCTCTTAAAAGTTCAATGAAAACAAAACTGAATAACCAATTTCAGCTGCTCAAATTAATTTGCATTCCACAGAATATCTCCTTAACTGCAATCCGTTCAGTGACGTCCCTTCTATGGTCTCTTGCCCAGAAAAGAGACATAGCAGACAAACAGCTGACAACTCAGTCACCAGAAAACTTGGCTTTATGTTTAAATAGCGTGCTGAAGGCAGCAGCATTGATTGCTTCAGAGGATTCAGAATCAATTTTTTAAGAACAGGTATTGTAATGTACATTTAGGTGGTGTCGAGAGGTCTACGAAAAAACACTCTTTTTTAACGTATCCTTATATGCGAGCAAATCCCTCTTTTCTCTCTTTCTACCTTGCGGTCATTACTTTTAAAATCATTGGTGAGTGGCCTACTGCAGATTACTGTTAACTTCACCGTCACTTTCTTCTTCATTCATATTTCGGACCCTTTTGTTTCAAACTTTTCACGACTTATAATTTGCCTATATTCCATGTTTATTTATGTCATTTCTACAGGGTAAGATATTGGTGAAGATTTCGATGAAGATCCTAGAAACCGTTTCAGACTCATTGTTGGCCTTAACTGCCCCTGATGGAAAAGCAACATCAATCACGGCAAGGCAATTTTCCATGACACTTGAAAGATATAGCCCCTAGAGACTTTCAGGACTGGAAATAAAAGCAGGAAATGGATGGTTTTTGTTACCATCTGAAAGCCAACTGATAATCTCCAGAATGAATAAAACAAGTTTTGTAGATGCTTAGGTAGGTATTCATGTACTAAAGGAAAATGCAATGTATTTGCGGCAAAATCAGGAAAGTATTTGTCAGCAGATACCGACGCCAGACAAGTTAAAGTAGTGAAGTAGTACACCAGGTACCTTGAAGACTGCTGACAACCAGAAGCAATTATAGTACTTATTTTGCTTTTGACTTGTTCAACTCTAACATTTAGTACAACGAAAAAAAAATCGAACCGAATCAAGCTAGATTTTCCTAATATCGCCTTAAATATATTTCAAAACTGAGTTGAAAACAGCATCAAGTCTCTCAAAAGCCTTAGTCGTTAGCCCGATAATTCTCGCTTTCAAATATTTCCAAAAAGTGACCACGCGAATAGAATTGTATATTTCTTCAAATTTTTTTCCAAATATATACATATGAGTAGACAGTGCTGTTTCGGCCTTCTGTGCCTCATCAATACATAAGCTTGCGTTCAATAGCCCAGCGAAAGACCTTGTTAAAACAAACAAACAGACAAACAATCAAAGCTAAAATTATATTCTTGTACATGCTTTGATTCTCTTTGAACCCTTACACTTGGGACGGCACAAAGGAGCGAGTTTGATCTGATGTTGTAACCCTGAAGTTGAAAAACAACTACAGCGAGCCTATTAAAGTATGAAATCTCCCAGGGGACATTTTCATCGTTACGCCTTCAAAACTTCAAAAGAACTTTCTAGGGAAATCATGGTATTTCACGAAAAATGTTGATGTACGTTTCCGCGAGATAAACATCAAATATGAAAACACCTTGTTGATTGTCAACATGAAACCTGAAGACCCAACCGTACATCTGTTTGTCTATATGCGTTTTGGTCAGCGGCCAACATCTCAACACCACGACCTCAATGCCACAATCTCTCAAGACAAAAAGTGTGTTTGGATGCTAAGTGCACATGGCAAAAGTCAAGAACAAACAGTCTGCTCTTTTAATCCATATGCACCGATACAGGTTCTAGCTGAGCATCCAGGAAAATACTTTCTTGGCGTAAAAAATGTCAACGCCAAGATGAACGTATCTCACAAAAGACAGAGAAGATCTTGTTTTGGAGAAAGGCGAGGGAAGCGCTCCTGCGTCGAAGTCAAAGATCCACCCCCCACCCCACCCCAGAGTATAATTGTCACTGTAATAAGAGTTTATGATTCCAAAACAGATCAAAACTATATTCTAAAGGTGGCCTTAGGTAGTTGTGTCTACTGGTCAGAAAAGATTGACAAGTGGATATCATCTGGCTGTCAGGTAAGTGTAAAGTTAAATATATACCTTAGGAAATCGTTTTTGCTATAATTTTTGCATTGCTTTCAACATATTTCATATGATTCGTTCCTTTCTGAGTCCTGATGTTGTAATAATCCTCATTCACCAGGTTTATTATTGCATTCAGGCCAAAATTTGATTCGATAACATTTCCATTGGCCCTGCTATCGTAAAAAGTCGAATAAATCCGATACCCAGAAAAAGCGAAAGCAGTGCCTTCAAAAGGAAAGACACAGAGCGATAAGAAGCGGCAGCCAAAATGATCATTTTTATTACATACATCTTCCTTATAATGTATAATTCCAGGTTTTAGCAGCATCGGATGGATTCATAAATTGTAGCTGCAACCATTTGACATTATTTGGAGGAAGTCTTTTACTTGAACCGCATCCTATTGACTTTGACAAGGTTCTAGTCGAGTTCCAGCAGTTACCGGAGACTGGAAATATTGCAGTAGTTGTGGCTATGGCGGTGCTTTTATTGTGTTATGTGTCTACACTCGTTATCGTAAGGAAATTTGACAAGGAAGACACGAAAAATGTAAGTATAGAGCCAGACTTTGTTTGGGACGGTTTTTTTAATGGGGTTTACCCTCCAGTACACTGTATAACTGTTTACTCGCAAGACCTGATTCTGAATTCCCACTTCCAGCTGCTACACATTTTTCTTTGGAGATAAGTCATGACAATTTTTTAATAGATCAAGATAACAACTTCTGCTTGCTAAATTTGATTCTCATGCCCTGTTTACTGGATAATGAACGGGTATTACAGGACAAAATTACGTATAGCTCACCTTTGAGAGTTATAGGGTTAAGAAAAAGAGGTCTTTATTTATCAATTTTTTTTACATTATTTGCTTTAAAAGCTTTGTTGACATGAGTGTTATCGTAGATTAATAGTCAATTAAATTAAACCGTCTTCAGGATTCACCATGTTTTTTTCTTCGGAATAGAACACCAAAAAATCTAATTGAGAATATGAATTAGCTAGTCATATAAATAACAGATGCGTTGTCACGGTTTTTTTTTTTTTTTGTTTTGTTTTTTTCTAGAAGGAATTACCGATCCACCTTCCATCTTCTCCAAACAGTACATATGAATACGAAATAGTGATTACTGCCGGGGCCTGGAAAAACTCGGGTACGACTGCCCATGTTGCTTTGGAGATTTACGGTTCGGACAGAAAAAGTGGCATTCTTTATCTCAGCCAAGAAGAGCCTGGTGCAGTTAATACGTTATTCTCTCGAGGTAATTCTGATGTTTTTGTACTTTCTGTTAACAAATCACTTAGTCGATTCAAGTAATGCAGATTGGTCATAATAATTTTGAAGATGATCCTTCGTGGTTTTTAGAGGAAATTCTGTTTCGGGACGTACAATCTAACCAGTCGTGGAAATTAATGGTGAGTCAGTGGTTTCCTCTTGAGCGGGGAGACGGGCGCATCGAGCGAACAATCTACAAGGCCTCAAATCAACTGGATTTTGGAAGTGAAGTTGCAAGACGTTGGCGAAGGGCTAACGCTCGCTTCAACGAAGGGCTAACGCTCGAAACGTCAGCCTTTGTAATCGTTATGGTGGCCAATTTACACTTCAACTTTGTTGATATATCCAAATTATTTCGTTGGCGAAGAGGCCTCGCAGAGTGGCATATTTGGATTTCAGTTGCAGCGAGGTTACGAAGAAGCCTCTTTACAAGAGTACAGCGGCTTTCTTGTTGCCTTTCAGTGCTTTTGATATCCATGATTGCTAATGCGATGATCTATAGGTTAGAAGGAAATTATGAACAGCCTATCGAAGTTGGACCGCTTAAAATGTCGTGGAAACAAGTTGTGACTGGCACTGAAAGCGCACTGGTTGTGACACCCATAAACATTGTCATAGCGTTATTTTTTTAGAAAGGAGCTGAAAAGTATGGAAAAAACAACGGCTATTTTCATAAAGATGCCCTTATCACTGGTATCGCTTGGTTTTTGTTGCTCTGTTCTTGTACTGTTTCGGCTGTGATTTCAATCTTCTACATTCTAACTTGGGAAAAGAGTGTCAGTGAGCAGTGGCTGTCTTCAATGCTTATCTCATTCGCCCGGGGCGTAACAATCAAGGAACCAGTAAAGGTGTTCCTCACAGCTCTAACTGTCGCGGCCATTTTAAAGATAACGGCGAAGAGATCAAAAGTGCATGCCTGCGAAAGCCCTCAGCAAGTTAAGACCGGGTATTCTAAACAAAAGTTTTGTGCACTGCAATTATCAGAAGTGGAAAAGATGAGGAGACGACAGGTTAAGAGAAAGAACCGTAAACGTTACCTCACAGAGTTGGTTATATACTTGGTCTTCGTTTTCCTGCTTATGGTAATGTGCTATGGCAACAGAAATGAGCGATGAAAGGGTTGAATTATAGCAGCTAACAAGATCATCCAGGCATAAATTGACAATGTTATCATTGCACAGTGCTGAATGCGCCACGCTCTATGCTCTACAACCATAAGGGAAGTAGTGAACGGTTAAATAAAGATATCTCGGTATTAGAATATCCTTTAACCACAAGTTAATATCTGTTCTTGACTATTATTATACGTGAAAAGAATATGGGTACTAAAGATGAATATATAAGTAAAAACAAAGGAAGAGATAAGATTAGAGTCGTTTCGGAATGTAGTTTTTAGTTTTGTTAAGACACAATATCATTTGGAAACAGTTAACCACAATCACAAAAATACTCGGTTACGAAATTGAAATGCGCGATATAATTCATGGTTGTTGTGTCATAAATAACGCTCGGTGCATCACCTTTCAGAAATAATATGTAGGGTCTCAAACCTGTAACAAGATAGCTTGAAGCCTGTAACAAGATATCAGCCGACAAGCGCACATTTCAAGATCTCCTTCGAGAAAAAAACGAATTGAGTTCATCGTTTAAAAATTATCTAGATGTTTTGATTGCGGAATGAAAAGTCTTGTACGAAAAGGGAAGAGTGTTCATCCGAGCTCATTTTATAAATCAGGTAGCTCATTTTTCTGCCTTTAAAAGCGCACACAACCCACAATTCCTCTGTTTGCTCCGACGAAGGGCTAACGCTCGAAACGTCAGCTTTTATAATCGTAACGGTGGCCAATTTACCATTTCAACTTTGTTGATATATTCAAATTATTTTGTTTTAATGAAGCCAACCATTGCTCCACATCTGGTGGAAAAAGCCTATAGCGTCATTGGTCCATTCATAAAGAAAAGAAAATAATTGTGACTTATGTCAGTAAGAAGCGATCGATCATTGTTTTGTCCATCACATGCTATCTCCTTTAAAACGTTAGGAAATCTGCTGCACTTGGGTTGTTGTCAAATCAAGAAGTATATAACATAAACATATCGGCCTCTACTAGAAGCAACTTCTGCATATCATCAGCTTCATGAACTGGGCGATAAGTGGGCTTCAATCCGGTCAAATGTTCACAGCACTGTCAATACATTGTGCACTGAGTAAGTAGAAATACTACTTTATGTAGTGGTTATGCTCCAGAAATGTAAGGGAAGTACTGAACGCGCGGTGAGATAAGGATATCTCGGTATTGGAACATGTTGTAACCCCAAGCGAAATCCAACCGGAAAGAAAATATTATCGGTGGCTTTTATTAGGCTCTCTCGACGAAACATATTTAACTTTGTCAATGTTTGTTCTTTACTTTTATTATACTGGAAAAGAATACAGGGAATGAAGACAAAAATACAAATAAAAACAAAGGAAGACAAGTGTTTTAAACTTGTTTCGGAATGTAGTTTTTTGTTTTGTTAAGACGCGAAATGATTTGGGAGTTGTTACCCACGATGACATATTACGCGGTTATGAAATTAAATTGCATAACATAATTCGTGGTTGTTGTCTCATAAATGATGTTCGGTGCACCACCTTTTAGAAATAATATGTGGGGTCCCAGAACACAATAGCCTAGTCACCTGCCTTCTGAAGTTGCTGTGACAAGTTGTCAGCCAACAAGCATACATTGTAAGATCTCCTTCGCACAAAGACGAATTAAGTTTATCGTTTAAAACTTATTCAGACGTTTTACATGCGGAATGAACAATCTTACACGAAAAGAGAAGGGTGTTCATCCGAGCTCATTATATAAACATGCTCTATAGAAAACAATGATTGTTATAAACAAAAGACAAGTTTGGACATAGTATTTTCACAGTTAATGGCGTCAGCAACTGTCAACTTGTGACGAGTTTATCTTTTATTTCCCTTTAAATTAAGTTCCTGCTTCCTCGACTTTTCATCGACTTGAGTTGTTGAATGTTTTTCTATAAAGGGACATCAAAGCATTTATTGGCGTTTCCTCGTCGCTAATTCATCGATATAATTTTGGGGTGAAACCCTCTAAGTTGCAATTAAACATTTGCCTTGCTAATTCATAATGTTCATTTCCATTCGATTCACTTTTTTTTAGATGTTGCATTGATGAAAAACAAGTAATAGTCTCAAATGGCGCAAAATATACTTGTTAAGTATGCCCCTACTATGCCATTTGAATAAGGTCAAGGGAACGCGCAAAATTTGACACAATAATGCAATGAAGAACAAGGCAAACATTTGGTCGGATAGCGGAGCAACAAAGTGGTTGCCCAGAAAGATCCCCAGTTTGATACTTTTCGTTCTTTAAGAAATAGGTATTTCAAGAACGTCATACTTCTTTTTCTGTTTACCGTAAAGAACGCTTTAAAATGACTAAGTGATTCTCAAATTTCAACAACAATTAAGGATATTTCAATAAAATAAAGCTAAAAGGCACTAGCATATGCTTTGCTCCAAGCATATGACGTCGTTGCACAAAAGGAATCAGCGCCCATCCCGGTTACTTCGAGGTGCAGTTGCGAACTGGGTTTAAACCGGATAATGTTTGGCATCTTTCATAGAAATTTCTTCAGATAAGGAATATCTGTGAGAATCATTTCAAAATAAGTTTTGAGCTTTAAGGAAAACAAAATCAAAGGAAAGAGATAGATACAGATGGAAGCTGTTCTGCTCGTTGTTCTTTAAATAATACTTTTTGCAGCACGCAACCGTTATCAACATTTTAGGTCAAAAGCGTTTTCTGTGTTTGCTTTCAGTGCTTGACTCTATGAACGAGAGAGATTGCCTCTTTTTGTTTATTTCTTGTTTTTTAACCAGATACCTTGAATAAACATTAAAGCCAAGACTCTCACCGCTTTCGTCGTGAAATCTTAAAACGTCAACCAGTAAATTGAACCACATTATGTTTCCGACATAGACCGATCCCGCATAGCCGAAGATAAAACTAAAAATTTCATGGTTTAATTGTTTGTATTTTATTTGCATGTCGAACTAAGCATGAACTATTTTGGCTATCGCTTCCGATAAAAATTTTTATAAATATTGAAACGCGCTTTCTTCTTGCGGTAAAAAATCGTGGTCCTTGAATTTCAGTCGAGTTAAAATCTCCATATTTCAGTTGCATGTGCTGATCTTTGCTATCTGTCTGCGTCTAAAACTAGTCTGTAAATGAAGAAATATAAAAAATGAGAAAAGTCCCGATACTTGACACACGCCTCCCCTCCTTCTACTCCCGCAAGCTTATCCCAGTTCCATGAAGCAGAGTAACCGGAAGACTCCATTTCCCCTGGTATATACATGTGTTACTAGATCGATCCCGCAGGTGAAGTCATTGTGTTACCAATTACAACGCGCTACTTTATTTCTTACATGATGGATCGATGGTGCAAATTATTTCCTTCCGTGCAGGGAGGCTACTCGATATAGTTTTCGGTAAGAGAAGTTATAATTCACAAAAGACAACCACCCACAAACGTGATTCCTGAACTAGTGTCATTAAAAATGTATTTAATCCACCTATTATCCTACACTGCATGACGAAATATTAACTCACATGGCGATTCTAAAATCGTGATTGGTTTTATGAAGTGTCGATCGATTGTTTCTCAGCTGGTAGAAATAGCCTCTAACCTTATCACCACGTTTACGAAGGGAAAAATTGTATTGACCTATGGCAGTAACAAGCGATCCATATTGTTATGTCCGTTATACATTACCTCCCCCAAGAAAACCTTGGGATACGTTGAAAATCTGTTGGATGTGTTTTGTTACCGATACAAGAGCCAACATAAGCACACCGACATCTACCTGTGGCAACCTTTGCATGTCGTAAGCTTGATGAATTGAGGGAAGAGCGGGCCTCAATCCGATAAAATTTTCACAGCCCTGTCAATACACTGTACACT